GTATGGGGATTTATCACTGCTGTCTATGGGAATTTATTTGTAGTGGTGCACCCCTAGGCGTAACATGGCACAGATCTCAAGCGCCCTCTATAATGATTTGCTGCGGTCCGTCTTCGTTCCTTAACGCTAACGTGCCGACAGTCTCGTGGGATACCTTTGGTACTTATTTATTACACTCGTTCATGCTTTGCTAATTTGAGGAGAATCTTTTCAAAAATTTGCCGACTGATTCGTGATTGGCCTCGAAAATTTATCAGTAACGAGATTTATATCCTTGTACATGTATTATAAAGACTGTATCTGTGTTTGTTCACAGTATCTGGATATATAAGATAAATATATGTTGAATTTTTAGATAACAATAGCATGTCCATGTACAGTAAAAATCCCTCTTCGTAGTAATTTTTTTTGCCTCTCCTTGCTAGAGAAAGAAGGTTATTAAATCAGTTGTGTATGGCAACCAGGCAATCTTGGCAATTTTAGTCTACAACATTTATACATTCACCACAGTTCTTAAATGTGGTAGCACACCAGTGTTTTCTCTCACAACTGTGCCATGCAACCAGTGTAGTGAAAGCAATTTGCGTGTCCTTTTGTTAAGACTAAATTCACTATTGTTCGGGTATTCTTGGGTGCACTGAAGCATGTGGACAAATTCAACATTGGCACGTAGAGTAGAATGCACGTGTACGTTTTAAATGGTGTCTGCACATCCCCAACAAAGTGAACGGTGAAGTACAAGACGTAATGCAGACGACGTGGGTCACCCAGGATATCATTACAACGCCACCTAGATGATTCGATCATAAGTTATTTATTTCCTGTGTGTATTACGTTGCCTTCTGTGAGAACTTGGAGAGTCCTGCGTCATCGAAATCGACACACCAAGGTGTACTTGTGAGGCCGTAAGTGCACGTGACTATACATGTGTTGTTTTATCGCTTCCTGGCTTGATTTTTCTTCTGGGCCAAGTGGGCATTCGCTGTCGAAATTAGGCCTTCAGTTTATACAGTGTGCCTGATCGTGTAACCTGTAGACAAGTTATTTCAGGAGATTTTTACGCTGATACTTTCTCAAAGGAAATCTCGCAATGGCATCAAACCTTCGTGTAACAAACAATAATCAATGTTACTTTACATTTTGGTTCGAAAAAGGTTCTCCGTGTATTTTTCAATTTGACTCGTGCAGAGTGTGGGCTAGCGTCAGGATGCCTTTCTTTTCAGCTCAGTATAGCGTTCTTTCCCTTTTATCAAAAAAATAAAAATAAATAACGAAATGGGAAAGAGTTCCATATGCGGACAACGCTTGATGCCCCTTTGCACAAACCTATGAGACTTGTCCAAAAAAGCGGAGTGTTTTCTAAGTTAATGCTTCAGGAATTTCTTACCTAAATTTCACTTTTTAGGACATGTCATCACTTTCTAACTGCTCTTATGACATTTCAGGGAAGACCAGTGTTGTCCGTATATGGAATTCTTTCCATGAACTGTTTTGGGGGTTGGAAACTCAGGCAGCCGTGTAATTTGTGAATATCAACAATTTTAGCAAACCTTGTGGAACTGATCGACTACAGTGCGCCACCAAGGAGGTACCACGGAGAGGCCTATTATTTTGAAGTGCATCATTGGAAAATGCATTTGCATAGTAAAAACTTCTTTTTCGGTCGTTAGAGCATTGTTGTAAATTTATTCTTTGTAAAAACGAGCACGGTACTTACCAGGCTCTAGGTGTCTCTGCTTTAGCGTCTCATCAAATTAACACTTTAATAGATAAATACTGAATGCGATCGAGATAATGCAATGTACAATGTATTATGCAAGTCGAAAATAAAGGGATGAGGACTTCTCCGGGGAAAATCATGCACACTGTACTGAGTCAGCTCTTTTTAAAGATATCTTTTATATTTTCTAAAGATGTGCAAGCATTTTGTGCAAGTCTGTGAGCCAGTCCACTGTTCCGACATTAACGTCGCCATTAACGGTTGTAGAAGATTTAATTTTAACGATTACTTGGTATTCAAAATGTGTATTCCAATTCCCTGGGGGTATTTAGAGGTCTGTGAAGTTTTTCTTTCAGTAATGCAGCTTACCATATTTTATGGCAGATATAATGCCGACCATGTCTGATTACAAACAGATATTGATAACTGCTACAGGGAGTATCCAGTTCGTAAGTGACTTCGTCACAAAGGCGGCGCGCCACGATTTGCAGGCTCTCATTGGACAATCGCTGAAGTTGCGCGTTAACTTTTGGTTCCATGTAAACGTATCTCTGCGCGCGAGCTCATTAATATTTTGTGATCCCACGGGATTTTTACAATAAGACAGACCATAATCAGGAGGGATCATAGAAATATCTCCATGAATCCTGAATTTGGGAGTGATAGTTTCCAGTTTGGGGTATTCCTTTCACAAAAAGTCCCAAATTGCGGGCCTATTTTGGATAGAGGCGGATAGAGTTTTACTGCCTATTTTGGGGGCATCTTCCTTGAAAGGCGAATAATAAAAAAAAGGTGATCTTCTGGCCATAATCTTGAATTTTCAGTGAAAAAACGGAGGCCAACCTCTCCACGGGGGCGTTATTTTTGTCCAATTTTGCACAGTTTTCTATGGGCGCGTATTTGATGTAGTGCAACCATCAATGCATGTATTGCGCAGTGCATATGCAGTGGGCGTGGTTTGAACTGAAGTGACGTCACACTTACGAACCGGATACATTATAGATCAGGGCCATATCCTCTCACCCCCCAAGTTCAAGAAATAAAAACACAACAGTACAGTTCAATCAAGCTAAAGTATTTCAGGAGATTATTTACACAATGGCAGTAAATGTAACTTTTCGTCGTTTTAATTTCACCGAATTAATTTTGTTATTCACTTAGTACCGGATTGCAGTGCCCCAAAAGAATACTTTTTATAATACTCTTGAGCGTATCTCACTACATTTTGGGAAAACTATATTATTTTAGGCCTTATCTTACGCAGTTCTTGAGCACAATTAGCAGACGTAGACAAAGTATTTCAATTCATCTTTAATCTTGAGTAATGTGATCTAAACGATTTAATATTTAAAACGTGAGGTTCTGGATAATTTGGAAAAAATGTTTCACAGTTGATAAAACAGTATGAGAGTTCATATATGGTTGTCTTTTTCAATTAACCTCTTTTCTATTCTCCGTTTTGTTGTATAAACTTGCTTTGATTTTAGGAATAAATTCGTTCAATCCATGTTAAATTGTGTGAAAATACAGCATCTTTTCATTTTGGTGTGTGAACGGAGTTTGAGAGTTGTGCTCTGTCGAGGAGTGGAACATGGAACATAATTGGTCAGGAAAAAAAAACCTCTCGGCAAAATGTTGACAAGTTATTATAATCATTGACCTGTTTCCAAAAATGATTCTTTAGACAGTGTGATGAACAGACAATTTTCCTCAAGAACATCAGGTAGAGATATTGATTGTTAAACAAATGCTACCCTTATTCCCAAAAGCAAGTTTAAGAACAAAACTTTCAATATAAGGAGTTAAAATAAAGAACCGTTGCGCATAAGAAAAAGCACGCATGCGCGCAGACTTAAACATTTCACTTAGAACCTTTGTACAAAAGCGCATGTTGTCGTTTGCATCGGTTTGAAGAGAATGTTTATATATTACTTCCGAGCACCTTGTAGTAAGAAGAGCGTAATAGCCTAGTTGGAAGGCACCTCGACGCTCAAACGAAAGTTCGCGGGTTCGAATCCCGCAGTGGTCACATAGGGGGCTTTTTATTTCTTTTTACTTTCACCTTACCTATGTAAAAAAGAGTAAAATTCCATTTTATTTTATTTTATTTTATCCTGTTGGGTAGACGAGCTCCACGGAACTCGGACCCCATCGCCGGTTCTCTGCCACCAGCGGGACTCGAACCCGGGACCTTCCGTCCCAGGGCGAGATCTCTACCACTACGCCACCTTGGGTCCCCCAACAACGATGGTTTTCTAATATATTTATCTAAAACATTGGCTAAAGGCGGTGCAAAATAAAACATCTCCTGGATTCGAACTGGGGTCTTGAGGACCAGACGTTCAACGCCTTACCTCTACTGCACCGGAAGCTTCCAAATGTGGTTGACGGATTTGAAATATACGTGTAAGAATCGTTTGGCACATTGAAAGAAAACAGTCGTGCCAAATTAACCCCACGGCCCATAACAGACATATCTGTCACGAGGACTCTAGATCTAACAAGTAGGAATTTGCGTGCAAATCCTCGGTACTATCGTCTTGCATTTGCAACAGGGATAATTGGAAGTCTCGAGGCTTTCTCCCTAAATCTAGCCCGCCATCTCTTGTTTTTAAAGACACTATTAACTTTCTCTTCAAAATTCTAAAACCTCGTGGAGCAGGTTTCCAAAGTTCAAATAACGTTGACACTAAACATTAATAAACGCGTTAACTGATCGAGTCTAAAACCAAGCAAATCATTTCGTCCATGGTCTGCGTTACTTGGCGTGAGAAAAGCCTTGTGGCGCCTGGAGGAATTTTTACGGTCTTTTGTACCAGCACGACAACAACTCTAACAGCAGAGGGAAAAATGACGCTCGGTGAGCCGTTGTCACTTGGGACCCACGGGAGTTGTAGTCGGAGGTTCAAGGATAATTTTGAATGACACTATTCAAAATCACTGAACGTAACGGTGGCACTGTTTTCCTCATACACTGTACCAACAAGAACCACAGTACCCAGAACTTATTGGTATTTTTGCAATAACCATGCTCAAAATGGCACCCGAGCGATGTTTATTCGAAGCAAAGCTTTGAAGGCATAATTTTAACCTCTTTTAAGCTAGACAAAGTAGGTCTCAAGCAAAACTCCAGTTAACTACACTCAGAATACATGTTTTCCGATCCCATACGTAGATCTATTCTACACGAAGGAGAATCCGAACAAATTACCATCACTGAATTTTGTCGAATGACTAGATCGGTTTAAGAATGTGATATGTGTGATTTTGACTGCTAAAAATACTGGTACAAGAGTTACACATTCAAGTAGGCCCACACGAACCGTGTTTGCATCGTATCACTTCTGAAATTTAAATCGCTCTGTTTTGCACACATAACATATTTTAGATTATATGCCTTTATTTTGGTCATTAATCCTTACAATGCTTTATGATTTCCTGAACCAGATAACGTTTCCTCTAGTTTTGCTTTTCCAGTAGATTATTTAAGTGAGCAAAATAACATGCCAAAAAAAAAAAAACTACAAGAAACCTAAACAGGTTCAATTAGAAAGTCTGCTTATATGGCAAAGAATTCGAATCCATTACTGCGGCGGCACAACGTTCATGGACAGGTGGTACGCGCGCGTTACATGCCTCTTTGACCAATAGGGTATCGTGATTTGCTGAATGCACGCACGCGTCAAGCTGAAGAATGTGAGCGCGGTGCCATCGCAGTTATGGCGTCAAATTGGATAAGATTTATAATTTCTTTGATCTTTCTCACAATTCCTTATTAGTGTATCAAGGTCTGAGGTCCGGATGGCGGATACAATTATTTCTCCTTCTTTCAACTCGTGTAAGAACCCCCAAACCCTCCGAGATCATGTGGTACAGTACCGTTTTCGTAATGCTAAGGCTTTCAATTGAAAAATCGGCAACATACATCGGCCCCGCCCCCTTCTGGATACACCAATAAGGTTCTTAGTTACATGCATTTTACACGTACTATATAATATGTACAATTGTTCAAATCTAAGAGTTAAACTATGACGCGTGAATGTAATCACACGTGTGGGCCCAGAATGGTTGAGAAGACTACAGTGCTGGTAAAATGGTATTCAAACATTATTCTCGATGGAAGCCCGTATAAGATCTCCTTATTTTCATAATATTGTTTTTTGCTGAAAATCGTACAATTTCGAAAACTACGTCAAATGTGATATACATATCTCTTCAAGTCCCACAACTTTCTGTGTACACCCAAAATAATTCTACAAGAGAATCGACTGCTATGTACGGACCTCAATCGCACGATCGATTTGGTCCAAATATTTCGGTAATGAAGCCATGAAGTCTTTAACAAGACGCTATGGGTCCGTTTAAACATTTTAATTCACAATAACATTTTAAAAACGCGGCATTACTGGTAAATATCTCAGCTCATACATGTTACACAAACCCTTTTATAAACCGTCTTTAATATAATAAAATTGAAAACACTCCAAAACGCAGTCCATTAGGTATTGTCAAGCAAATACCACAGATTCGAGATTTTTTCCTACAACACTTCTTTTTTCCATAATCTCCATACAACATAGACTTGTGTCCTTCCACGGTTATAATTAAGTCTCACTATTCGTCTGCATGCATGTTTTCAGTAAATCCATAAATTCATTTTTACTCCAGTTTCTTTTACAATAGTTAGCTGTAGGAATCCATCGGCAATTGTCCTTGACATGTATTCACTAAAACATTGTACATAGTTGTCCTCATCAATGTATCCCATAAATTTGTGTCTCGTGCATTTTGTTTTAATCCAAATTCATCAAGGAGTCAAGGTGTCAAATACTTAGGTCTACACTTTGCTCTTAATAACAGATAGTCAATGGTAGTACCTCTACGGCTATTCATTACGCTAACTTAAAAAAAAAAGGCTAGCTGTATTCAACGTATTATATACACGTCATTTCGTCTGATTTTAAGCATTCATAGTGAAATCGAAGGGCTGTAATGCAATTTTATGGAATTGCGCACTGCTTAATATTTCCAACACAATTTACAACACAAAGAAGCCAGAGACACAACGTCCACAATAGTTCCGCGAAGTGGGTGAGGCAATGAATAATTGATACCGAAATGAAGCCATCCAATGGCATTCGGGTACCAACGGATTGTCAGTACGTGCACTCATGTTTATTCATAGTGGTTTCGGTAAAAAAAACCTTTTGTCGGCCTCAAGTTCGTGGCTTTGCGGTCTTAGCCTGGCACCTAACTAACTGACGACAGAGTATTTGAATAATCAGAGCACAATTTCCCGCAAAGGGAAGCAGAGTAAATTCTTTAGGGCCTCTTGGGCTCAAGCAGCGCTGATTGGTACCATATATGTATTTGCAGCTTCGAAACGCATTATACAGAAGTGAATCACTACAAGTCAGTCTTATGGTGTATACTAGTACATGTATATTCAGAACTGATGTATACTTTGCATATGTTCTATCTTTACGGAAGAATAAAAACTTTGTTCATGTCTTCTTTCGAGCATAATAAGGCTAATCTAAACGAGTATGACAAAAATATTTGTGTACATATTTTATACAATTACATATAATATTCTGAATATATTGTGGACCCCTCACCTTTAAACAAGGCTGTGACGTTGGTTTTCAAAAGCTTGCACTGCAAACTGTATACAAGTACTGTACATGTAGATCAAGCTGAGCTGAGCTACACGTTCGTTTGAAGAAAGCTTTGGAAGGTGATTTTATTTCTATAGCAAACGACAAAATTTTTGCCCTTTTTGGTAACTTTAGCCTGGTGTAAAGGTTGTGCATTACACAATTGCGCCACCAACAAATCTGTAACCTCTCAAAATCAAATCCTATGGGTTTTTGTCACGGATTCTGACTGCAAGCTATTCCCAGTCCGGGCGAATGTCGTACACCACCGGCTGCTGTCGGCCACGGCGCCCGCCAGCTTCTTGTCGGACGTACACCTCCTCCTGAGGCGAATCGTCGTAGTCGTCCTCGTCGAAGGTGAACCGCACCGAGTAGGGCTCGGACTCTGGCTCGCGATTATTGCCCCGGGAGACAATCAGGCGGTCGGGCAGTCGAGGCATCTCGTCGTGGGGTCGCAGGTACTGTCGGGGACGGGACGATCCTGAGTTGTAGTAGCTTGAGATGTTGTAGAGAGGCATGCCGCGAGGGGCGTGGTCATCCCACTCCTGAAAGTATTCTTTGTGGATGCAATCACACCCAGAAACCATTTGTTTCTTTTCATGTCGTTATCTGATATTGGGACTGGTAAGACTTGGAAAAACCAACAACTTGCCAAGCAGCATTAAACAATAAATCTAAATAATGACGTTTTCTGTACTATGTTATCCAGACTGCAATATTTTCATTTGACCAGAATAGGCCTTTTCTTAAAACGAAGCTGTTTTTGCGTCATAGTTTTCGATAAAACAATTCCTTTTGTTTGGTGTTGACTCTTGGTTAAGCCGGCCATCGTGTAGGATATAATAAAGTGAATTTTCATGCATTTTATCAAGTGTTAAATTGGCCTATAGTGACTAAAAGGTGAGAATTTGTATAAACAAGTCACTCGCCTAGAGGCCGGTTCATACTTCATGGTGGATGCAATAGCGGAGTGAACACGACATCACGAAATAATAGTTGAAATCAAGAAGTTTGCTAGAGTTGAAATGTGCTCAACTTTAGCAAATTTGCAACATGAATATAAATTTGATCTGACATCTGCAAATCGCTTTCGCGCCGAGGATGCACGAGCAGGCAACAGGCAATTAAATTACAAGGATCTGAGGCTTAAGACGGTCGGATCAAAGGCAAATGTTCAAGTAAGGAAAATCTGCTACTTACCGAGTCCACCCATGTCCATCTCCCGGGCTCTGCGCTCCTCCACACGGCGCTGGTTCTCCTCCACGCGCATCCACTTTTCGTACGCGAGGCGGAACGCCAACGACACTGTCTTGGTGATTGAGTCGCACTGCCAGTGATTGCTGCACTCGAAGACGTGGCAGAAGAAACGGTTGCCGCGACCGCGGGCTACAAGTGAGAAGACGTTTGGACAGCGCGGGTCGGCTGCCACGAAGTGAATTCGGTTGATAGGGATCTGCTGAAGATCTCTGGTCTCTGTTGGAGAAAAAAACACACACAAGTATTTGAATGCATAAAACAACTTGACCTTTTAAAGTGACCCCAGAAGATATACTGGAAAGGTAAAGAAAGCGTTTAACACATTTTATAGTGACAGTGTTACCTCCGCAAATGCAAAACAAATTAAACGATACGCGCTGTCGTTGCAGCTCATTAAAAAAAAGGAAAATTATGCTCTAGCATTTTGTGGTTTTATAGAATACATCTAATACGAGCTTTGGAGTTCATTTTGTCACAGGGCTCGGATGGTTTTAAACTTACGCGTTTCTAAAAGTGCTATGTTCTTAGTGTTGATATTCATGGTATAGCAAGGGATGGCAACTCCTCGTTCCTTGTACACCATGGAGCGACATCTGATCTCCTCCACAAGGGCGTTTAACTCTAAGATTCCAGGTTCTGAGTGTTTTAGTCGCGTCGCTCCCAGGAAGACGAGCCTAAAGAAGGTCTCGGAGAAATGGTCTGGGTCCCCATCTGCGACGCCGGCCTCGCTGCCGTCGGACCGCCGGTTGGGGCCGGCCCGAATGCCGTTGGCCGGTCCGCGGACCTGCAGCTTCAGTCGGCCGGGCAGGGTGCGACCCGCGCCGATGTCATCCAGGGTCTGGCTGCGATTTGCCGGGGCGAGGATTAGGCGGGTCGGGGAGCGAGATAAGGACCTGGGACGCGCCCGGGCTCCCCGCGATCGAACGGTCGGTCGGTTCCGGCCCTGTCGCACGTACACCACGTTACTCATCGTCGGTAGCGTTGCGCAAACCCACTCAAACTGCTCTCGTAAATTTGGCCGAAACTTTCTTCTTCAACTTCGAGTAGATTCTGGTCTCCTGTGAGGCTCCACAACACCTTAAGATCGTCTTAGCTCTGTCTAAAATCACTTGGGAGTTCAGTTCCAAGGGGCCTCCTACATTTTCTAAGTTTCTCCAGCTTCGACGAACTGATACAAGTATGTAGATCGTTTTTACAGGTGCATGACCAACATGGCTGCGCTGCAAAGCCAACTAACAGTGTTCAAGTCTGAAGTTTCAACGGGACAGGGCGGTAATTGTGATATTGAGGTGAACCGTGACAACGTCCAATCACAGGGGTAGATTGGGAAAGTTTGCATGCAGCGCGGGACAAAGGGGTAATTTTTTTCCTTCACTTTTGTTTTGTGACGTAGAATTGTGTCTCGCTGCAAAAGAAAAGCAAGTAGTTTTGGAACTATAGCCTGGTATGATCCACTCTCTGCACATTGTGGGCGGTGGGAACTGAACTTTGGGCGTGGAGAATTGTCTTACTACCTGAGATTCCTGTGTAAACAGTGATTGAGAATTCTGATTGAACTCTAAGACTGGGCCAACCGCACAGCGACATCTGATGATGATGACTAACACGAAAAATATAAACAAAACGAATACATTATGACTCCAACTCTGGACTTGAAAAATGTGGCGTCGCAGGTGATACAAACATCATGAACAAACTCACATTAACTCTAACCCCTGGGTTTTGTAAAATCAATTTGAAATCAGAGGACTGAGGACTGTGAGGGTTGAAGTATTTTAAGGAATCAAAATTTTGGAGAACACGCTCTCATTTCATAGCCTGAAATGTGACCATTTTGTAAAATGAAAGCCTGTTTACAGTAACTTTGCAGGACACGCAATTATGCCACCTGACCTAACAGAATCCAAGCGTGACGTTAACCCAACACATTCCATTATAGCTTGTACATGTACACGTAGTTGCTTTAGCGGGGCGATTGTTGAAGAATTCGACATAGCTCCTAGTATGGTAATTTGGATCAGTGTGCGGCGGTGACCAGATTTATTAATGACCCGAATTATATCCAGGATAACTTAACCTAACTGGGGCAAAGAAAAAAATCCAAACAATGAATTTGAAGAATTATCTTAACTTTCGCCTGAGGGCGAATTCTTCAAATGCCCATTCGGAGGATTTATAAGATTCAGGAACGGAGAAGCCACCTTTTTAGAAATAGCAACTGCTGGAGTCTACCTCACAAACTCCTCAATAGTAAGCATATTTGACTCGAAATCGGCTTTGAAAACCACTCCCTGAAACCGCTGAGGTTATTTTTCAGAAAACAAGTTGTGGTTTTAATTTTATTGGGAATTTACTCTTACCATTACACAACACATTTCGGTTTGGTTATCGTGATCAAAATTTCATATCACAATATTCAAAATACGGGCTTGGCGTATGAAAATCTTTGTATCTCTTTTTGAAACTGTGCTTTAGCGGCCGGTTGATTTTTTTTTTCATGATTAACCGCTGAATTTCACAATCACATTCGAGTGATAAATGGGAAGTAGTTGACACATTACTGTATTGGTGTATGAGTCGACTGAAGTACTGGACATAACTTTAACCTCAATTCGTATGAAGCTACCGGCAGAAAATTTATTTGGGCCCTCGTATTGAATTGCTCCTTGGACTTTAGGTCATGCTCTCCGACTGTACTTAATCTTCAAATCTTAATGTAATCTTTCATCCCCTGATGGGTAGGGTTAACAGAATCGGAAGACATACAGTTGTACTCACACGACTACATCAACAGATTATGGAAAAAAAATTGGGTCAAATAAATTATTTTACAAATAATAACACTCAGTGAAATCGCGGCTGTATCCGCCGGCCCCACGTTGAAGTTACTCCCAAGCGGCAAAAAAAAAAAAAAAAAAGACAGGTGGTTGTAAGTTTTCCAAGCGGGTTCTTGCACGCGTTCTGCGTGTACGCAAAGGCCATACATGTACAGCGCATTAGGGAATAAATTCGTTATTGCGCACTCAGCATGCTCCGCGTCAAACGCGCCATTGATCTCCATTATAAACGCGCGCTTATGCGGTGAGTACCAAAAAAAAGCCCTCTTTTGTTGCGCTTGGAGCGGATTAGCTGAGTTTAAAAGAAATGTCTCCGGTGAGAAATAGAGGATGGCAGGCAAAAACTGCTCTTGGGCTTAAAAGCCCAAGGCTGATGCAGTTGAGTTTATAGATTCACTATAATCGTACTCAACAGATCCGTGAACTTGAACCAAAACTTTGTTGTATGTTAAACAACCACCTGTGCGACTCTGAAATAATATGACATCATTGTTCGACATTATCTCAAACATAACATGGCGTACATGGAAAAAACAGGTATCGAAAGCTGAACAAAGTCAGACCAGTAAAGGAAGAACTAACACACCCACGAACGTGTTGAAAACACTTGGATTGAAGACAGAAATAATCCGATCAAAGGTTATATGCAATGAACGTCCGATCAAAAGGTAAAATGTCTTCATGTAAGTCAGCAATTCCTCTTGGAAGAATAATCTCGGTCATATGCTGACTTAAACAAAATTTGTGTGACAATCACATTTCGAAATCAGCCGTGTGGAATCTTTCCTTATTCGAGAGTTTCAACAATTCGTTTTTAAACGATTGTATTATCGGGTTCATCATAAATAAGACTTGAGGCTATGCATGGCGAAAGTACTAACTATGTGAAGTTTGCGGTGACACCATGTAATCAAATTCTCTCTTTGAGTGTGTGTGGTTCTGAAATATTTAATGTTCATCGTATTTAATGTTATCTGCGATTCAGTAACACTTCATATCAACATGAACATAATACTTGCCAAAAAACAGATCTCTTTGACGTTTCTGATTCAGCACCTACATGCAGTAGGCTACATGTATTATAAAAATGGACATGTATGAGATAAATTTCTGTGGTTGTTGTGAAACTTTTAATTTAAAAGTCTTCTTTATTTTGTACTCATTTTGATATAATCCTTATTCGAGTTTTATGGAGTGGACTGAATAAACAAACTTGTCAAAATGTCGAGGTCTTCGTACATCTTGGCAATACACTGTATTAGTTATTGGAATTAACAAACGGCTGTCATGAATCATGCCATAAGAGAACGGAACCGCTTTTTCGTTGTATATCCATCTAAAATCTGGGTCGCTTCGTAACACTCATTTCTCCATAATTTTCCTCGGTGATTAAGGCTTTTAAAAAGGTCTTTGATACTTGAAATATAAGGAGATCGATCTAAATGGTGATATTAATTTTGACAAGTTCCCCCATATTGTACATTTTTTAACCCGAATATACCTCTTCCTTTTCAAACTGTGAAACAATTCATTTTCATTTCGGGAAGAGTTCCATATACGAGACATCACTTGTTTTCCCTTGCAGTGGTTTACAAGCCATCAGGAAGTAACAACATGTCCTAAAAAGTCAAATTTAGCAGAGAAAATATCAAAGCATTTACTCAGAAAACACCGAATTTTTCAGACCAGTCTCACAGGATTTGCGCAAAGGGTGACAATGATCATGGTGTATGAGCTGTGTATGAATTTTGTCCCTTATTTCTAAGGCTTGAACTTACCAGCACTTTGGAAGCCAACTCTGTCGATTCCGACGATGAGAAAGTACGTTTTCATTCGAGTTCCCTCCCGGCGAAGTGCATCGGTGCGGTTCTGCACATGTTCCACCACCTGGGCAACATCCTCCATGCTGGGCTCTGAGTCCTGATGGTACTGCCCGCACCTCATGGGTACGGACCCAATGTATACCACGGGGAACTCGGGAAAGCCACGGTACTCTGGGGACACCGGGCGGCCGTATCGCGATACCCGACCGTACGCCTCGGGAGAGGGCCGGAAGCCGTACTGCTGCCACGGTGCCACGATGGAACGCGACGCAGGCCCGAGTCGCGGGTCCCTCCCTCCGTAACGACCGACTCCATATTCCGGGTCATACAGCATTTTCCTCCCGTCTGACGGTTTTTCTCCCACTAAAAACCCCGTATGACCAGCACTGAAATTTCAAAGGATTTCCTGCGATCTTCCTCGTCCTTCTGTATAACAAATCAGCACAGGTGCAGTTGGATGGGTGTGACTCAGAAAAAAGAAAGCTGAAATTACTCACGAGGTCAAAGTCGTCTTCCAAATTGTGGGTTTCCAGCCACAATATTTTTTTTTTCTTAACATGCAGGCCGCAGTCACTGTTCACGCCTGGGTGACCACGCGCGGGAGTTGCAATGGCGGAATCCCAAAGCGCATATACACACACACACCCATTCCTATCGCCACAATGCACGAGCCAGAAGTTCTACCAAAATGCTCGGACAAACCACGGTCCGTGGACAAACAAACCCTTTGTTGGAATGAGGGCTGGTTCTTTTGTATCCTCAACAATGCGATTTCATCTCCTCGGCAGAGGGCTCACAGCGAAAGTACATTGGGCTCTGGGACTTTTACAAATTAAAATCGTATGCTGGCAAAGGGTTATCATGATTGTTTGGAAAATGAAGTATGAGAAGAATGAAGTCATGATCTCATCCCCATCGGTACTATGAAAGACAATATCAGATATGTCTTGGAACTGTCAGTCGCAACTGGAGCCCTTAACTCCAAATAACACATTCCTCCTCTGAAATCGAAGTTTAATTTCATGTCGGGTTGTTGTGTATGCGAACTCCGAAATCACCGTCAATTTGGCAAGCATGCTCTGCTGTCCGAGACTCTTTCTCGGCTGGGCAGTGACACATTTTTCCCCATTTCATTTTTTGCGACTGCGGCACAAGACTGGCCCCCAAAGCCTTTTCACGCAATAGTAGCATGCACGTGCAATAGTTATGGACGTTTATACTTATATCATGCGGAATAATATGGGTTCAAAATGACAAATTTACATCAAAAAAGCAACTGGAAAGTTTGTCATTGACGTTCCCTTTTGTGATTTGGTGTGCCCTTTTAAAGAAATAGGTTTGGCTCTGTGTTAAGTTGGACATACAACTCGAATAGCACTCCAAAACTTCCCGTGTATTTTTCGATGCAGAAAGATCCATTGAGTACAACTAACGACAGCTTAGACGTACAACGTGTGCGTAATAGCTAAAAATAACGGAAATACAAATCACAACGTTGGAATCAAACTCGCAAGACACTGAACACTGCATGTTTTTGCAACTACTTCACTTTTTATTCAGTACAAATTTCGGTGAAGATACATTCGTTAAGAACGTGAACAGGCTCTCGTATTTCAAGCCCTCCACTGAATTATTAGATCCATCGGTACTTTACATTTTATATGCGTCACAGAAGAGAAAACTTGTTCTTCACTCTGTTTTCCTACTAAACCTGTGTTGGGGAAAATGCCCTACAGACTTTCCTCACTGCAACTGACAGCCACTTCGGTTTTGCTTTTTGGCACACATGAGCCTAAGTCGATCAAATCAGGCTCGAATCGTCACAGACTGGTGCCCCTGAGAAGGCTGTTCATTTCCAGGCATGCACCATAACCAGACCAACATGGCGGTCCACCGAGGAAATAACTGAAGACACTTTCTAACTCCTTATTTATTGTATGATCTCACTTTTTCCATTTCTACAGATTCTTGTATGAAATCCAAGGCAAAGTTACAAACCACTATTTAAGGCGAAGTGAAATCGTCTGTACTAAAATGCATGAAAGAACAATCTGGGTACCATCTGGTACTTTTGCACTTTGGATTTAATACTTTACGGATACAGAGAAGAAATCCTTCCGAGAGTAAGGTTCCAAACCTCAAACGTACGAAAGCAAACAACATAGCCGATTATCACACTGGCTGAATAACTTCGCCTTGCACTTCACGGTCTCATCCTCGTTCTTCCACATGTGAATTTTTTTCTGACATTAAATTTCTGGAACACATTTCATAATGATACATAAAATTCTCATTGAATCTCCCAAGCATGAAACAATGCAAATACCAAATAACAGCAAAGCACACTAGATGTAAATGCTCACCTTTCGTTAATAGTGTCAAGAATATCAATAGAATATCAATAGTAATCTACACAACTCTGTCGTCCCATGTCGCCTGAACACAACAAGAAATAGCATGGTTACTCTCCCTCGGGCACTTGTGCTGAGTACATGTATATAAGAAAAGACTTCCCTCGTTTTAAGTTACACATATTATAGTCTAGTTCCCAACCTCTCTCTCCCCCAATCTTTGGCTAAGTACAAGACATAGGAATAGTTATAATTATGTTACAAATGCAACTTTTTTTCCCTATCGTTCATGAATAATATTTTGTATAGAGATGTCTCCGTGAACAAAGTAAAAGCAAAAAAGCGTTTAATCTCAATCACACTTATGGATTCTGACACTCACAGTTTGGTTCACACATGGCGCACTTGCCCCGCACTCAAAAGGACAATTTTTTCTGTACACAGAATTTCGAACTTTCTTTGTACAGTTTGGATAAATTAAAAAGGAATACCTCACAGCATTTTTTTTTCAATAAATAATCATCGATCCATGTTTTAAAAAGTCTAGATTTTCTTTCTTGAAGTACACGTGGTTGAAGTTGAAGTTTACTTACAGTCATTGCAGCTACAATGAAGGTGAAGAATTGAACATCAAATATTTCACAACTGCTAAATAAAAAACAAGCACAGTACAAGTTGAAAATTGAATATTCACAGACAAAAATAGGAATGACTAACCATGCATGGTCAGGTTTTAAGGAAAACCTGAGAATTTAGAAGGCCCTGCACTTCGGAAAAAGAGTCACAAGTCTTCAACCTCCACAGTTAAAAGTTCACACACTTTGACATATTTATTGGATGCATTCGCCCTACACTAATTCGAACACTAGTGTTATTTGTCAAAAAGGAAGAAAAAACCTCAGAAAACCTCATTATCCTGGAGTCACACACAAAAACAAAGACGTCGTGACACAGTGTTGCGCCATATTGCATGCATACTGCCTGCGGCAGTATAAAAATGAACGACAGAGATTCCATGAAAACACTTTGGTCCTCGGTTTAAAGTGGCTCTCTCGTTGAAAGCTCCCCCCCCCGTGTCTCCAAGTGCCCACAGCAACACTACGCATGCGCCCGTTGCGCAAGATCGCGGGAAAGGGAAAGGTGTGGGAGTTGTGCATCTACAATTTTTGCGGCACCAAAAATTGTCTCAAATTTCTTGTAAGTTCCCAGCTTTCTACTTTACTGATCAAACTCTCAAAAATAAAAGCTCAGTTGTTATCTATGTACATTTTATATACCCCTATGGTGTTGACTTTATGAAAATGTGTACAACCTACACTATCATTCAAAGTATAAGTTTTACACCAAGTACATTTAATCTACACAAGATTTATAAGTGTCAGCTTGTCCCTACATTGGGTAATCTGTACAAGAATTTACACTGAATGGAACAAGTGTAAATTTCACTCTACACTGTGTACACTGTACCCAAGCGCGTTTAGTTAACACTACATGTTAAGTGTAATCCTCATATGTGTAAATGTTACACCAGCTATGTCCAACTTGAACTATTTAACCGGACTGTGATACACCTGAGATTAAAAAATGTTTCAGACCAACCAACCCCCCGAAATTCCCAAGATGGAAAAACAATCAGAAATCTACAGCTTTCCATCACAAAAGCAAAACCTAGACACTTTCATGAAAAAAGTACAACTCTACAGAGTACTTTGATAGGCAAGATTGGATTTTAACTTAAAGCTAACCTTCTGAACCAGTTGATACGGTGTACACGAACTCAAATTTTGAAGTTGAAACAAAAAGTGGTTCACGGGCACCGTACCCGAACTACGCCCTCCGATACATGTAGTTGTGATTAAGTTTGTGGTTAAAATTATGGAAGCCAAAGATCAAGATTTTATCAGGTTCAAATGTGATCCTTTTAGCAGAAGTAAAAGAGTCACGCCAATTATTTGGCAGTTGAAACTCGACTGTTATAAACCAGCATGAGTATTAAACTGGTTGTAATGTGAAAAAAGTTAATTGCTTGTAACAAGTTAAACAACAACTTAAGTCTTCCTGTTTTTGCTAATTTGACGTGTAGCACCTTTGTATGCGGCAACGCTTGGATAAAACGGAGATTTTTTACGTCGACGAGATTCATGAATACAAAAGAAAACTGTGTCAAGGTCGCTGCATCAAATGCTACGCTGGCCCATCTGCCGATGAGCGGTAACAGTTACGCCTACAAATCAGTCCTTCAAACTTAAAACACGGCACGCAATACTGCTCTCGACTGACTACAGAAAAGAATGCAAATAGTACAAGGAAACGTCGATTGGCGAATCAGAGAAGACAGTCGAGGTTCATTCTAAAAACATTTAAAAAAGAAACTTTGTAAAAAAAAATCCAGTTAGCAAAGTCACGGCTGGAAAGCAGCAACGCAATTGTCAACACTGCGCAATGCATCTTGGGATTTCCAAGCATGCACTCTTACAGCAAGCACATTAATGGAAGGATACTGCACAGTGTTTTTTTTTTTTCAAAAATTTCAAGTTGAGGATTTAAAAAACAAATGCACACAATTTACAATCGTTTGTTCTGCTTATTAACCTTCTTAGCACACTACCTCGCCTTCTATCCTCAATACTGCACTGGTAGAGAACTTAACGTTTAATTTCTGTCCCGGAAGCACCAACCCTCAGCTAAAGAACAGCTTCCTGCGACTGAATTACCTACTATCACCTACTTGAAAGCTACCTCGCGTATACAAAATACTGCGTCTCGTAGATCGAGCGAAGAATTTATAAAAGAGTTTAGGATTGCTGTTCAGTTAATCCTTTTGAAGTTTGTCTGCTATCATTAGTTAGAAAAAAAAATTCAGAAAGCATGAGTACAAAAATCAGACACTGCGATGCGAGAAAGCTTCCCAATTATAAAACTTTTAAAGAAGCAATTAAGAAGCAACATGCACGGCATGGTCGTCCGAAATATTTTCTGCAGTGGTACGGTAGTAATTCAGCCTACTGATCAATTAGTTTGCAATACAGTTTATAAAATTTTAAACTTAATCCTATCAACCGAAGAAGACACCACGTTTGGCTATTTGTTTAGGAACGCCCTAATTCATACTGCACTGAAAATAATTCTCCCCAACTAGCACGGGACGGAAAGTCCGTCAGCAGTCGCTAAAACATTCTTTAAAAAAAAGTTCTCAAAAATCACTACACGCATTTTTCTTCACCCTTCTTATGGTAGAACTGTTCCTCAGACAAAACAAATATACATTTTGGAAAACGCAAAACATGTATAAATATATATATCACACTTGCTATAAAAATTTCAATCATGGAAAAAGTTGATTTTGTTTTATCAAAAGGTCTCTAGAATGCTGTGAGGTCCTTCAATTTTGTACAAGTAGGCCTACACTAATACTTTTTTTTCAACAAGCGTACAAAAAGGAAACAAATGTCTCTGACAATTTTAGTGAGCAAAAATGGCTTGCGTTAAAGAAGACTCTCAAACTAACGAACAAGAGATGAAAACCGGATATCCTTCTCCCGTTCAAATAGTAAAAAATCATTTCAGCCCGAAAATGAAACAAAAAATCATATCCTTATCAAACCCTTATCAACCACCATTTACACAAGATGTTCGATTCCAGCGAACCATTTTTTAAATAAATTATTTACAAAACCCGTGGCTCCGAGTCTTTGCCGTCACTTCCAATTTGTCAGAGACATTTTTATAAGATCCTCTTTAACACGCAAAATGAATTTTTTCAGTCATCGCAATTTCACAAATGGTGCCTTTTTTCTGTCTTCCTAAGCAGAGGTGAGCTTTTCAATAAAAAAGGAAAAAACTTCATTCCCAACTTAAAAAAGAAATCGGCATATACATTTGACCGCCAGGAAAGAATTGCAAAAGGATTTCACGTCTGTGAGTAAGTTACGTACGTAGTGCAAGGCCAATGCTATGGTAACTCTCTTTGGCAAGAAGCCTTATTCAAAAAACGAAACAAAAACGAAACCCAATCATTTATATACTAGTCGGTTTCCTTTCCTACGGTTACCCTCATACATCAAGAGGAAATTCACCAAGGAATTCACTTCTGAGACTCAGGAAATGTAAAAAAAAAAGGTTTTGGAAGAGACGAGGGTAGCAATATAGACCACAAAATCAGCCACTTGGATAAATTACAGCTATTTTTGGAGATGAAAGTCTCCTCCTTGATTTAAAAAAATCGGAATAGATGCAATACTGTCTCACATATTTCTTGTTCTTAAAAACAGTGGACAAGTCCAGAGTGTGTGTGTGCGGGGCGAAGTGTTTCAATCTAAGAACAATGTACAACTTTCCCTTTCGTGTCTGTGACTCCATCATAGGAATACTTATACAACAAAAACTTGAGGGCAATAACTTTTGCCATTCTATATATGCACACCCTCTTGGCGTTTCCAGACACGTTAATATGATGTCATATGTTAATATTGCAACAGGGTCAGCCGCAATGTGCAGCCGCTTTTTTCTTGGAGCAAACTACAACTGCGTTCCCATTACTTTGTACAAACTGATCAATGACTCGTCAAAGGCACAGGGAAACAATCCTTATAAAAATACTCCCCTCCCCCCGAATCTTGTATCCCAATTCAACTTTGGCATTGTACAAAATGCTAGTGACTGTACGTTACACAGCGTCCCGTGCAGCTTAAAATGTAGTTCTCGGGCAGGCGCAGTGTGACCGTCACTTCGCCCAGAACACTAATTTAAAAATCAAACATGATATCAGAGTTCTTGCTAAAGTGGAACTCAAAACCAACAAGATGCATTTTTTTTCTCAAATCCAGTCAACTCTTGTTATATAACAAGTTTACTGGGACCAGCCAAAGGACATTATTTTTAACCAGAACCTCGTCGTAAAAGGGCTTAAGCATGAAAACCAATGGAAATCAAGGAACTTCAGAATTGTAAGTGTTGTCATATCGACAGTTGACTTATCACACACTGCAGGCGGCAATGTCTGAAAGCCCATTCTTAAAAAAAACTTTGCAAAAGTCCTGTCTCCAGATATATAAATACAATTGTCATAACCCTGTTTGTTAAGTACTCAAGTGTCTAATTCAATTAAAACATAGCGCTGGACATCGCACAACACAAAATGCGAACTGATAAATCAAACTCAAAAGATGCCAGTTTTAGACTGACTACACCCAGTTAACCTTTGGATATTAAGCAAGACCAGAAATGAATTGGGTCTGCCAATCACTCCTTACAAAACGTTTTGCACTTATAGATGGTCAACTCACCAGGTGGATTTTTCCCGATATAATCAAAGATATTTAAAAGACAAAAAAGCAGGCAGACCCTATCAGCATTGTCGCTGGTATTCGTATATCTAGAAAGTTATATATATTGCCCCGGTAGATTCCACAATGGAAGATGGAAAGTCCTACTAAACAAAGCCACAATCTCTTCCTCAGAACAATGGAAGTAAAGTCTCTTACTGATATACAGATTTGAGCTCAAACCCCAAATATACTCAGCATTTTCACGGCCCGATTGGGAGACCATTAAAGGGCCAAGTCTATCGTCAAAACCCTGTCGACTGTTCTGCTAGGGGCGGAGAGAATAAACCCTAATCATAACAGTCAACAGATGATGTAATGATGATGTCATTTTCGTCATCAAAAAAGGAGGAAAAACAAAATAGGTGGAATGACCACCTGCCAGAATGACATCCGATTACTTTTTTTGAGTTGGCAAATGATGGAGTTGGCCCTTTAATAACGAGATCATGCTTTTTACCGACTGCGTTAAGCCTGGCAGTCTGAACATCAGCCTACTTGTAAAAGCATTTTGAACTTGGCAAACTCCTAGTATTTATTTTGCCAATAACAGCACGTTTTCACTGCTAAAACTGCAAATTACACAATCTGCAGTAATAAATAAAACATAAATAACCCACTGCTTTTTTTTTCATCTCTTTTCGCCACCAAGAAGTAAAAATGTGGGTAAAACATATGTGAGAGTGTCCCTGGTATACTTTCAAGGGCTACTGTAGCTGCTTTCGATTCCTTGTGCACATTCAGATGAAATCTGAACGTCTTTTAATGTCGCTTGTTTGTAGTCAGTTAGTCTATGGCTAGTTGCAGAGAGAGCTGACCATGTATCATGTGGTCAACAGTCTCATCGGTGATTGTAATTTTCACGGCTGGTGTCCTTTGGTACATTTACAAATCCAATGAATTCTTGTTCACCATACAGGGCGACATTTCAGGCACTCATCCAATGTTGATTATACGTGACGGAAAGTGCAAAGGGTAAATGTTTTTCCTTTGCCATTTCCGTCGTATTGGAGAGTCCCTTCAAATAACAACTAATGGAACAACAGAATCTGCACTGATTAAAGTAGGGTAACAACAAATCAATCAACTATGGCCCCTGCTGGAAAAACAAACAAATGAAAAGATTCAGGAAAAAAACAACTGACGCTTGATTTAGAGTTGTTCAATAACGACCACTCCAACTATGCTACATGTTAGGTCATTCCTGCTTCACTTAAATACACTGGCCAGGCAAAGTGGCTTATTATTAAACTCTAGCACAAATTCCGAGAAAAAAACAAAAAGAGCAACTTTTACAGGGCGTCCCCCGTAACTTGTTTTGCTGCAAAGCTGCATGAAATGAAGCGAGCAGCTGTGACGTCACCTTCGGGAAGTGAATACATTGCCTCAGAATGACCCAGTGGCTTGGTCACTCAATATCGCTGTGTTCAGTCGATGTTGCCAACTTTGTGCGTCTTATCTAGATACTTGCCAACGTTACCAGTACACAACATCACGTGTATCTTTTACTGCTGTTAGCTAATTCACTAATCAATTACATTTTTTTCTTAATCCACTGCTTAAACAGAGTTCTCTAAATCTAACGCTTTTTTTATTTATATTTTTTTTAAACAACAACCAACACTAATATTGCAGGGGCCATAACTAACACAACTCCTACAGAAAAAAACTACAGCAAAAAACATTAACTAGGCGCAAAAGTTTAACATCCACTTGTATTCATTAATTAATTATCAAGTCAAACCACAAATGGTGACTCTCACTTGTCACCTGTCTTGTCTGGTTCCTCTGTCCTCGTCTATCTTACATTCAGGGTATTGGTGATAGGTACCAGTCTTATCAAGTAAGTCAAAAAGGCCTTACTACGGTCCCTTTTGTGAAAGTTTAATATGTCGAAATTTTCATTTTTTTGGATCACCTCTGCCAAACTTTTTAGAACAAAATGTTCAGTTTTTAACCAAGCCCAGCTGGCACTGGGACATTGTTTTAAATAAACGAAATGCTTCTTTAATCTCCAGTGAGCTGAGTTGTCCCACTGACTCTCAGAATAAAATTGGTTTCATGTTCTTCCTTTGAAGAAATTAAACTTGTGAAGCCATGACCTTTCATGGCACACTCTACATGATACTTTTGTCCTGTGACACTTTTAAATAATGAAGTCCAATCAAGTGTGGCATTTTTTTTTTTAGAGATGCTCTCTAGAATGGGTAATACCTGTCGCAACTTTTAAGGTGAAACTTCAAGCTCTTTGAGATTTTAGTGAGTAAGATTACGTCATGGATTATTTCTTTCTCTCTCTGTTTTCAGGAATGGTCCATTCTACCCTGAATGTTCTTACCGTTTTGTCCGACCACCCCCTAAGGGGAAATCTAATTCCCCCACCAATCGGTGCTGCTCCCGCTGTTAGGCTGGGCATAGCTGCCACCATAGGATGCCTGGTACGGGGGGAAAGCAAAGGGCACCTGGCCGTGGTGCCCCCCACCGAAGGGAATCCCCTGCTGTCCACCCCCGCGGGGACGGTTGGCCTGACGGTAGTCACGAGAACCAAAGCCGCTACCACCAAAGTTCCTGGGGAAAAACAAAAAAAGCGAAAGACGCAACGTACTGAAAATGCAAGAGAAGCTGTGCGGAAAAATCACCAAAATGAAATCAGTCGGAATTTGAGAGACTAGACAATCTCAGAATTCAACAAGTTGGTTTTGATGGGATGAAGAAATCTAGACCCTAGCAAAGAAATTCAGATCCATTATTAAAGGTACTTTAGTGATTTACAACCTTCAACACAAAGGTAATGATAACAGTAACTAAGAACTTACAAGTACAGGAAACTTGGAAAAAAAGAAAACTACTACGAGAACACCTGTGTAATTCCTTCACAGATATTTTTCTAGGAAGGAAGTATCCATCAGGTTCATACTCAACAATGAGTTAATAACTCCTCAAAGAATGCGCACACATGCAGCAGTCACCACATAGATCAACAGACAGATGTTTCTGCCTTCGTCAGACCCTAACGTACTTTTAACAACAAAATTGGGAAAAATGTCCCAAAACACACTTTCAGGCACGGTGAATGAAAAAGATAAAAATTAGGGAAAATGTGTAACTAGTGATGGAAGTGGACCATCACTTCTGGTGTCGATTCTTTCCGTCACAGGTCAATACATGTAACTCCAAGGTCCTCAAGCTACAGAAATAGTACCTTACTTTTGGTTGGATATCTTTTTATTGAACACAAAAAGACAAAAAAAAACCCCCAAAACCATTGCATGTACACACAAGAAGTGTCCTTCAGAGCAGAAGGGAAAAACCAACCATACACACACACAAAGGAAAAAACTGCTAGATCTGTCGGAGAAATAGAAACCCTGCTGGATGGGATGGATGACTGGGTTTGAATGCTTCAGCAAGGTCACTTCTTTTGAGGGGGGGTAGTTGGCAAAAGCATGGCTTGTGGGGACTTCAGTGCCTCGGGGGAATTTTCTTAACGCTGGAACTGTGTATGAGGGCAACTGCAGGGTCAACAGGGGGGAGAACCCTGCGATAAAAATCTACCGTGATTTTCTTTAGCCCACAAAGCGACTATATAAACAGCTCCCTAGTAACTTCCACATTTTCTCAAAATGAAAAAAAAAAAACCACCATCATTTTTAGATGACATATCTTACTGAAGTGGCAAAAACCCCAGCTTTCTGCACCACTGAAAGTACTGCGCTGTTCAACACTGGTTGGTCACAGCAGTTGTAGCACAAATGAGTTGCATTGAGAATTTATTCCTTGTTTTTCAAAACAGGAAGATCAAGTAATTGGATAGAATCTGGTTGACCAGTCATGTAAAAACAATACAATCCCAAAACCTTGACCTGTTTGCACTATGAGGTCACTTAAGTCAATCCAACCAATCCTGCCGCAGCATATGAACCTCACTGGATCAGACTTCAACAACTAGAAGGAATTTATTCATTGGACCACGAAGGGCCACAAAAGAGCCACCGTGCCAATTTCAATGACAAAGTCTCGTCCATAAAGGTTTTTCCCCAAACACCACGTTAAAAAACTCGAACAACATCTGCGGCTGTCTGCTAAATGCACTAAAATCTTCGACAGCTGAAATTTTCAAATGCCCAAGTTAGTCGCTGCTCTGTTCAACATCAGTGGAAACTAAAATCCAAACTGCAGACCGTTCGCTATTCCCAGGGTTAGGGGACTGAATTAACCAAAATTACACAGCTTCACTTGGACTCTGCTGAATTTGACGGGAATACAGATTTCACAATTTGAAGTCCACGCCCCAATCGCTGACCTTCGGGATTCTCCAATTGAGATCAAAACATGGGCAGGTATGGGGAAAACGGCAGGATGATTGTTGCCGCCTGAGTCATTATCGCAGAGGTCGCCCACACCCATTACGCTGTGGAATGAGTTGGGACAACTCGATTCACGCCCTGCAGCGCACTAACAAAACAAACCACAGTCGACGTATTCATGCCTGTATGGTGAGGCAGGTACCTTTCACCCATGTCACAAAGGCTGTTTTTCTAAGTACCACAGCTTCCTAATTTCAAAACATCGATGACTAATATTGTGCAATGCCACTGGAAATCAGGACAAAACACTCTGTGTGCGATCACGTCTCACAAACCTTTTAGCCGTGACTATTAGTTGTGAAGTTGATATCTGTCCATCGTAATGTTTGTTTGGTTTTTTTTTCTTTAACCCTAACCTTCCCCAACCACACAGAATTAAACAGTAGTAAAGTGTTTAATTCTGTGGGGATAGGTCTGGTAGGCCCAGACAGCTGGCTTTTGCATTGGATTTGGCATACCTCAGAAGTCCAACAGCCTCTGTGCACAAAGTCCCATATGGGTATTTAACTTGGTGTGAATGGGGAAGGTTAGGGCCAGCAACCCTTGGGGAGTTAGGGTTAATTTTATTTAAATTGGTGTTAGTTTCTACTTTTTAACGTGTAACATACATGTAATTTGGCCGTCGGGCCACGAGATGTATGCAAAACAATAAAACCTCACCTAGCCGCCGACACAGAGGTATATCACTGTATACATTTGTTTCAAACGACTCTGTGAGTAAAGAGAGCTGAAATTTAACTTGTCCACTTTGATATGCCTGACATGGTATTTGCCGTATTGACCTTCCTTGGCAAAGAGAAACCTGTCACAGGAATTCTCTCTGGCAGGAATACCAGCAGATTCAGATCTGCTTCGGCGCAGTTGTTTGCGAACAATGCCCCATTCACCTTGGTTTGGGTCTCACGGAGTTTCTGGGAGAATAAGGGAAACCATTTGATTTGGCTGCTGCTTTTGGTTGAATGAACAGGATCCCACCCGCTTTTGATATAAAAAATGATGGATTTGTCTGTCACAAGGTTAAACGGGGACATTGAGGGGTTGAAAGATTTAAGGGGGAAGCATTAAAATGTAAACAATTTGTTGAGATAAGCTGTTTTAATTCCAAGCAAAGGCTAACAACCATCCCCCCCCCAAAAAAGAGGAAAGTTATTTTCTGTACGCTGAATACTGCTGGATAACTCCTGTTTCTGGTATAATAGAGGTGAACGAAACAAAGCCATTTAAACAGGAATTTCATTCCTCGCAGCTCACAAAAGTGAAGATGGATGATGCTTTCACAAAACTCAAGCTCATCAACGTTTTAGCCACCATTTGACTTCGGGGTCTCCAACTTTAACTTGAATTGAACCAGGCGTCAAGGTTCTTGTGCTCTGACATCTGTAAATTTGCAAAATGGGGGCGTCCAAGATGGCCAAGGGGGGGGGGATAGTAAGAATGTGCCGATATGACCTTCTGGATAAAAATCCTCGCTTCGGACTGATCATAGGGAACTTTTCTTTTGGCGGTCGCGGACGGTGGGGAAGGGGAGAAACGGGACTTACTTGCGTCCTCGTTTGCCGGAGAAGTTCTGCTTGGCTTCGTAGACCATGGTGTCCAGCCAGCCCGGGGGGTCCATCTTGGTTTCCACCATCAGCTCGGCCAGGTCGCGGGCCAGGTTGCGGTTCTTGTCGTTGAAGAACGAAGTCGCCAACCCTGAAAGATTCGTGGGGAGAGCAAAGGACAGTGCTCAGACAATGGTTACGTAACATGATAGAGTTCTTATCAACGACGGTCCTGTAAAGAGGCAGAAGGGAAAGCACGGTGATGTGCTAATGACAGCATCATGCCTCAGACTGTGGTAATCACTTTCCCACATCAGGAAAACAAGTAGGTCTGTGCAACGCATTGCTAGCCAGAAACACCGGGAAAAAACACTCCTCTTTCATGTTATATGCTTTGGTTCTTCAACATGCTCTAATCAGCTACCTAAGACCTGAAGCCTAACATCTGATCTGGAGAGACTATAACCCTTATGGACAAAAGCTGGGGATCTTTTGTGTTCCCCTGCTGGTGTGCATGAGTCTCGGCAAGTAACCAGAAATATGCCGTACGATTTCCAACATTGTCGGGCAAAGCACGGGTGGGATCCAGGATTGCTGCCGCAAGGCTGAAAGCTGTTGACTGTCAGGAAAGCATGACTCAGTTCTGGGGTTGGGTTCTTACCTAGGTTGCCCACGCGGCCCGTACGGCCGATGCGGTGAACGTACTCCTCAATGTCACCGGGCAGGTCAAAGTTGATGACGTGCTTGACGTTGGGGATGTCCAGACCACGGGCAGCCACCTTGACGTGTCAAAAGAAAAACCAAACTCAGATCCCAAAACAAACAAACAAACAAACAAAAAACAAACAAGCCAGAAGGGAAAGCAATTGCAGAAGTGCAGTGCTCCTGTTGGTGACTTCTTCGGTTGTAGCCATGACATTGCCAAAAACTTTCAAGGTTGCATCAAGAAACAAACCTAGTACATGAACTGAAAGGGACAAGTGCTCTTGTCAAGATGTCAAAAATTGACAACAGTGCAAGGAGGAAAAAAGACCTTGAGGACTTACGGCTGTGGCAACCAGAATGGGAGTTTGCCCGGTGCGGAATGTCCTCAGTGCCTCCTCACGCTCACGCTGGGAGCGGTCGCCATGGATACTGGTTGCCGGGTAACTCTGCATCCGGAGGAACTCATCCAAGGCATCAGCTCCTCGCTTGGTCTCCACAAAGACGAGAGTCAGGGATGAGGGGCCTATAGTGGAAAATAAACACCAGAATGGGGGGTTGTTACCTGGTCAAATGTAACACTCCGTGTTAATATTTAGCACTTCCTGTTAATATTTCAATGATTTTGGGAAACTCGGCTTTTTTGTATCAAACAGCATGATTGCAAACATCTTGTAGGATTAGCCGTCTACATCAGGGAGTGTCTACAAATTCCAAACAAATGACAATTCTTTGTCTGAAACTACCACTAGTTTCAAGGGAAATGTAACTCATTTCTGATCGGAAACAGTCTTAACATATTGAGTGTTCCAATATGGATGGGCCTTCAGCCACGTTTGAAACCATCTGAAAAGAAGACAAGAATGCTTGGAGTTTGGAGACAATCCCTTACTATCTACAGCTTTGTAGATTTAAATTTGAATTCTGAGGGAACAATTCTTGCATGCAAAGCAATGGTGGACAAAGCTTTTAGGTGTTCTATCGGCTCCAAGCACAAGAACAGAGGGTGCTATTTGGCTAAGTAACTAAAACCAGATTTGTCAACAGCCGTCAAACAGTAGCATTCTTCAGGTATGGTCAAAGCTTTTCTCTTGATCTGACAGAATCCTCCAGAATTTAGTGAAATGTGAAGCTTGAAATCAATGGAATCAAACTCAAGCCGAAAACACCTCGCCGGATTCGGTAAATGTTATGTTTTGAAAGTTTCTTGGCACAAAACTCTTGGCTGGAAAAGCAAAAAGTGCAATCTGACACCAATGACCAGAATTAAAATGGAAAAATGCAGGAAAAATACGTCGGCTGAAATCAAAAGCAATGGAACTGCAGCAGAACCAACTTGTGCAAGAGGTTATTTCCGTCCCATTAGTCTATGCCAACTCCACTCAATTGTAACAACTTCCACCTGCCAATGCTGATGAAACGACGTCTCTTTTGTACGTTGCAACAACTTAACCTTTCCAAACACTAGCTAGACAGTTTAAACCTTGAAGCTGCGGCTTTAGCTATTCAGTCGACGTAAACGACACTATTCTACAGTCATTTACAAAAGTTTAGGGACCATGGACAATGGACCATCCATAGAAAATGCATTAACCTCAAGGAAAACCAAACTGAAACCAATCAATCAATGTTTATTTTCAATGTGTTACACATTGAAAATAAACATTGAACATTGACTACATTTCCATGATTTGACATGTTAACAGTCTAATATTCAGTTTTCCCTCCCTTATTTCTGATTGCTTAGACTGGCTTTTTTTTACCCAAACAAAATGTCATACAAGACCTGCCTTCGCAAAAAATTTCATTCAAATGGGTATATAGCACTACACTGATGTTATGCACCACTGTAAAATCATGTTAAGTAATCAGTCAATTAGACAGTGTAATGCAGGCCCAGTGACAGAAATACCAATAAAATTCAAGGTGGTCTTAAACTTTTGCAAATGACTGTAGTAGGGAGTTCTTTCTATGACTCTGTTGCATCAAAATTGGCAAGGCAATTTGGCACCCAATCCGACAACCCACCTCTACTTATAAGCGGGACTTGCACACCAAATACAACATGCTATGAGTAGGTCGGTATCATAGGATTGGCACACTTGTAAGCATAGCATGAAAAGCGCCCCCACTTGCCACACAACAGAGAGCCACTGCTGCGGTGCGTATGCTAAAACTGGTCCAGCTTACAAGTGTGGCGAACGTAGTCCATGCTACGATCCTATGATACTGACCTGCTGATAGGCGTATTTGGTGCGCAAGCCCCTACTTATAAATAGCGGAGGGTAGTCGGATTGGGTGAATTTGGCGCACAATCATATTAAACGTGAATGATCTATAAACCAGTGATTTGAAGTGCTGGGTGGAACATGATGTTGCTTGATTTCGTAAAACAAAAACTATATGATAAATGAACAAATTAAGATAAAGTGAACTTGAATGAAAAAGGAATCTTGAAAGCCAGATATGTAAAGGCATTTATGCCAATTGTTATTCACGATACAAAAAAAAACTGAGACTTTTGAAAGGGAATTCAGCTGCGAAATAGGAAAACAGCAAAATTCAGCCATTGGAAGAGAATGGATGAACACACAGATGGATAAATGACAAGGTGCAAATATGGACTTCGGAAACCAAACCCAATTGACCATGTTCCTTGCCCGGCCATATTGAATTGAAAGTGACGTGAAATGTTTGATTTTGGGAAATTACAAAAAAGAATGAAAGCAATGAACTAAAAAGTTCATTCCAGCTTCACTTCATTTGAGGAATGATTCAAAATTTGTGATTTATTATATTTTAATGTTATATGCGAAATTTAACATAAAGAAAAGTGAGAAATGGAACCCAAAATAGACTGGCACCACCCCCATTTGGCAGATTACGCTGAATGAGTTAGAGTCTGGGAATATGACCAAAATGGATTCCTTGTGAATAAGGTGAATATTGATTGGTGATCCTCTGCAAACATTACCAAGAGGCCAAAGCATGCTTGGTACCTTGTGCTTCAAGCAAGAATAAGAGCTAGCATGCTCTCACATCATGACAACATCCTTATGCTGGGTAAGACCGTGTGAAAGCACGGGTTTGTGCCTGTTAGGCCCAGGATGCACTGAGCATGCCCATCCAACTTCTGTTGGAATGTACAGTCTTTGCCTGTGCGCTGAGTGTGTGCACGAGCTCGGACGAAAAAAAAAAACAACCCAAAACTTCCCACCAGCCTGACTTCTAGTCAGCACACGTACACGTTTCGATGGAAAGCCAAGTGCGATGCAGAAAGATGCCGAGTCTACGGTGATCGCCTTGACGGCGTGCCGCAAGACTTGCAGTCTGCACAAGCTAATGGCAGGTGGCAACCTAGAGCAGGCCATCGACATATAAGAGGTTCCGTGAGGATGCAGCTGGCAATGAAGCAAGAGAGAAAAAACCCAATCCTCGCCCGCTGTCTCACTTACCTTTCAATCGTCCTGTTAATTAATCAAAGGCTGCGGTTACAGGCGATTTGAGTTGCTTTTAAAGGGGCCACTGCGTCTTTCATTGGGACTCAAAATGGTCCAAGAAATCAGTAAATGAAGATTTAAACCAAAAAATCACTTCAAATAATTACTCCAATCTACCAAAAACTAAACTGTGCATTAACTTTGACGACGAACAATTCCATGCCATAAATTTCACAGAACGGCGACTCCTCCAAAATATCTCCCAAAACAAAAAGCAGGCAAACAGCGCCATCACAGTTGGACACAGGGGATCTCAGGAAGGACTAAAAGGCAGACGCAGTGACCCTTTTAGAGAGAACCCAACAAAGCTGGGCGGTGCAGGTGGGTTGGGGAAGCCAAGAGAAAGCGCCTTACCTTTGCCGTCTTTTTTACCTGCTGCGTTTAGCAGATCCAGGAGGAAGGAACGCTTGTCGTTCTCCTCCACCCACACCACCTTCTGGGTGATGTTGGCGCTGGTGCTGCCCACGCGGCCCACCGCCAAGAAGATGTAGTTATCCAGGAAGTCGCGAGCCAGAATCTGGAGGGAGCGTCAAATGGGGAAACTTTCAACCATTTATTCCAAACGAGTTATACTGAGCATGTGCGGGGAGAGCTACAATTTTTTGTATTCCAATACAAAGCCTGACAGACAATTTCAAAAGCTGACCACAGCATGCTGGGTGCTTCTTGGAAGGAATAAATTATTTGTCGGAAGCAAAGTAGCTTCAAAGGGGCGATTCAGACATTCCTTTGTCCTTACAGAAACTTAGAGCATTTCCATAACTTGATTCTTTGGAATGTTTCCCTGACCACTGTTTTCTTGATCCTATTAAATTCAGGTTGGGTAGATTTTGGCAGGATATCAGGTGCAACCCTGCCATTATTTTGTAGCAACCTAAGTGTATTGGAAAAATCATAGTACCAAGAAAATGGGATTCCTGCCGAGTGGTGAACTATGGAGGGGGTCAGAGGCTTCCTAGCCAGAATGGTCAGGGAGATCCCCATGAAACACGAGTCAACCCAGCAAAAAACTCTTGCTCAGAAGGCGAAAGAGGAATGAAACAGGAAGAATGAGGAGGCCCTTCCCCGGAATGATTTGCCACTCACCTGGATCTCCTTGGGGAAGGTGGCACTGAACATAAGGGTTTGACGCTCGCCGGTCTTTGGCATGGTGTCGCGCTCCACGATGCGACGGATCTGCGGCTCAAAGCCCATGTCAAGCATGCGGTCTGCTTCATCCAGAACCAGCCACCTGGTGTCCATGTCAAGAGGAAGGAATAGTTAGCACATTGAAACCTTGCCGCTGCATTGAAAGTGGTCTTCAAAGCTAATACGGCCTTGAGTCTTGCTGGTCATACCCTCTATGTCCATCTTGGCTCTCACATCTAAATCACGTTTCTTGAGCTGGGTCTCGATCTTCACTGGACGCATGGGCGATCAATGACAGACCAAGCAATAGACCCAGACGTGGCAGCTGGACACTGCCCACTACTGACGACAAGTCAAGTAAAGCACCATCTATTGACCAAATGTAATCACATAGCCTTACATGGCTTCATAAAAACTGTATCGGCAAGAGCAGCCAGTCGTTGGGACTTGTAAATCAATGCGCAGAAACAAACGACGATTAAAGCTAGTGTAAAACACAGGGTAGGAATTTCATGCCAAGAGGACAGCTTTCTCTGACAGACTTTGAGTGCGACCTACTTGATGTTATCCATTCCGACGCGGCCACGTTCCATCATGTCCACTAGCCGTCCCGGTGTGCCCACCAGCAGGTGGCAACCGTCGTCCAGTTCACGCATCTGCCCGTTGATGTCAGCACCGCCATAGACCACACGCACTTTTACGCGGGAACAGTAGGCAAACTGGTGACAAGTGGTTGGGAAAAGGCCGAAGAAACGAAGAAATACGACCAAAAAATTATACACCATTCCTTAGTAACCAGACACATGCATTTGTGGATATATATCTAATTACAGAAAAAGAACTGTGTTTTAAATTCTCTGATCTCAAAGAAAGTATAATTTTTTCATGCTGAGCTTAATTATGAATTAAAAATTTTCATCCTTTAAAACCTATCAGCTGTAAGGATTTTACATGCTGATGAGCTATGCAGAAAAGAATTTCATCAGCCATTTGACAGGAATGCAGTCCTGAAGAATCTGCCAAGATTTTGAGCAGCCTACCTTGCGTGCCTCATCAAAGATCTGAGAAGCAAGCTCTCTAGTTGGGGCCAGGATCAGAGACAGTGGATACTGCTTACGTCGATTTGACTGTAAAGAAAAAAAAAATTAGAACTAAAACAACGGGTTATCTTGAGCTGTGTGGCTATGGCAGTATTGTGACACCTCTGCTGACAATGCAACGGAGACACAGGTTGAAGAAATGACCTTTAAATGAGGTCAGACTAAGGCCTGATCTAAAATGGTTGCTTTGCAGACACACTTTGAAGTGCTTGACACTGACCAGTCAAGCAAGAGCTGTATCCACAGGCAGAAGACAGTCCATATTCGGCATCAACACAAAGAGATATCTGTGACAACAGAGCATGAGCTCCAAAATAACAAAACAATTTCACAACTGCCGAGCTCATTCCCAGAGCTACATGGTGTGCAGCAATTGTCTCGGGATGTTGAAATCGCTTTGCGTTCTGATTGGCATGAACTACGACCTGGCCTTTGGTTTAGTTCAGCCATTGACCTTGAGAGTGACTGAGCGTGACAAGAGAATGGTGCCTGAAGAATGCCTTGACATACCCCAGTGCCGCCGGTGGACTTGTAAGGTCCTCCTTCGTAGATCTGAGACAGGATCGGCAGCAAGAAGGCTGCAGTCTTTCCAGAGCCTGAGAGAAGGGTTGGGTAGGGAAAACGAAAGAACAATTTCACATCTCACCCACTGTAGTCAGTACCGCACTGTGCACATGTATGCTGGTTTCACATACCAAGTGTAGCCAACACTTTGTGCTCTTGTGGTTAAGAAAACTCAAGGAAAATGTTCACTTTGGTAACTCCTTCCAGCAGGATTTTTTTATGACTTCCTGGACTGTTCCTCTTCATTTTTCCCACAGATAACCCTTACCTGAAAATGCTCATGAAACTGTTTCTCAGAAAGAGGAAAACACTGTGTGGACTTGTTCTAGTCCACACAACGTCTTCTAGCCCTAACACTAGCCTGGACCCCTGTATCTAGTCACA